ATCTTAACTACCTTCGCTAAAAATGAAGAAAGCTTTGGTTTACACAGAGAATTCACGGAGAACAAGACACTCCAAGGAACAGTATCTTAAAAGTGCCCTAGGAACGCCACGTACATGGATGGAGACAAACTATGGTAGGCAGAATAACGGCCTCCCAAAGACGCCAATGTCCTAGCCCTACAACCTGTGAATATGTCACATTACATGGCAAAGGGGAATTAAGATGGAATTAAGGTTCCTACTCAGCTGATTTTAAAATGGTAAGATTTTGCTGGACTATTTCAGTGGGTCACTGCAATCATAAGAGTCCTTAAATGAGAAGAGGGAGGCAGAAGAGACTCAGAGTGAGATGTGACTGTGAAAGGGGTCAGAGAGAGGTGATGTGAGGACTCAACTTGCCTTTGAAACTCTGACGATGGAGGAAGAGGAAGGACCAAGAGCCAAGGAATGCAGGTGGCCTCTGGAATCCACAAAAGTCAAGGAAACAGACCATACCCAGAGCCTCTAGAAAAATACGTAGCCTTGCGGACACCTGGATTTTAGCCCGAGAAGACCTGTTAGACTTGACTTACAGAACTGCAAGATTATAAATTTGTGTTGTTTTACAACACTGATTTTGTGGTAATTTGTTACATCTGCAGTAGAAAACTAATACACAAACTAAGATATTTGATAATAAAATTTCAAAAAGCATTTGGCAAATTTCATGTGCAAGTGTGCTTTACATGAAGAACAGAATATATAAAATAAAAATCCTGGCACAAAATCATAGAATTGCACAACTGAGAAGTACCTAAAAAATTACTGAACTCAACACCATCATTTTATAAGCATGGAAACTGATACCTAATTGCACAATAAGTTAAATAGGAGAGTTAGAACTCGGAGATTTTTGACTTTTAGTTCAGACTCTTGAATTGTTTTTTACTTTATCTTTTGGTAAGGGCATAACAGAAGAAATGCAAAAGTTCACATAACAAAACAGTTTGCTAAATGATCAGGTGGAGAATGTATATTCTAAGATTTGCCATGGACCCAAGGACTTCTGATCATCAGCTCTGTGTTGCTTGCTTATCCTGAAAATGTAAACAAATAGCCACGAGAGGCTGAATATTGGTCCCTCAGGATGTCTACATCCTCATCTCCAGAACTTGTGGATGTTACCTCTAGTGGTTTTGCAGATGTGCTTAAGAATGCCATGTGACAACAGAAGCAGAGATCTGAGTGATGCACTTTGAAGATGGAGGAAGGGGCCACAAGTCAAGGAATACAGGTAGCCACTAGCTGAAAACCAAGGCAAGGAAATGATTGTCCCCTCAGAGCCTTCAAAATGAACCAGCCCTGCTGACACGAGTTTAGTCCAGTGAAAACGTTTTCAGATTTCTGACCTCTAGAACTATGAGAGAATAAATTTGTTTTGTTTTAAGCTACTAAGTTTGTGAGAATTTCTTACAGTGGCAACAGGAAATCAATACAATAGCCTTATAGAAAAATGTAATTGCAAGCTCATTAAAGCCAGATACTATTATATTATCTTTTTATTTACATTTTCACAATTTCAACTTTGACACAATAGGATAAGTCTTGCATTTCTAGGTTACTTTCTATCCATCCCTAGCAGCATATATTCAAAGATCCTATTAATTTTCACCCAAGAAAACCAGACATTTCAATGCAAAGTATCCAAAAAATACTTACCTACTTAATTTTTTCAGAATGTGTTGGAGGATGTTAAACAAACTTGAAATCCTATTAAACAGAGGAAATTCAAGTAAAATGAAATGACAAAAAATACTCTTAACAATTACAGCTCCTCAGGAAGAGAAACGCCCTTAATAACAAAAGAAAACAACAGAGTAACGTCTAAATGAGCGTTTACAATCCTGAGAACTAAGAGTCTGTGACTGTCCTTTCCGTCCCTGAAAAGCCGTGTAATGTATGCTCCTCAGACCTCTAAGACAGTGGGCCACTCTCCTGCTCTAGCCTCCTTTGTCTTCAGTAGAAAGATTGGTGCCACTGCTATTATATTTAATTTGGAGATGGAGATGATTAGTATAGATGGATCACAAATTGGGTCAGGGGAAGCCTCAATATATAAAAGAATTAAAAGTCTTGAAAATAAATGATTTAAACTTAACCGATATTTAGAGATAAAGGAAAATTAGAGATCATATCAACAAGTTTAATTCCCACAACAACAAAGCAAACTTTCTTACTTGAGTGCTGGAAGTTTTTCTTTTAATTCTTCTGAAGTAATTTCTTCCAGCAGGAAAAGCTTTGAAGTAAATGCATCAATATGTCCTAAAATAAAATATCAAACTTAACAAGAGCAATTGCAGTATTTAAAAAACAAAAAAACAGGTTATCCAGTCTCTTTAAAGATGTTTTTACAAAACTGTAATAACTGTAAAGGAACTTTACATTCTCAAAAGAAATGCACATTTTATTAAGTTTATTAAGTGAAACTGTATTTTAAAATGACATAAAAAGTCAGATTATAAAAGAAATATGTATTAATTCTACAATACTTGATGAATGTGGAAAAGTTTACACACGTCCACACCAAAAAAATCATCTCTAAGCCCACAATTTAAGACTAACAACTGTTAGGGGCCGGTCTGGTGGCGGAGCAGTTAAGTTCGCACGTTCTCTTCGGCGGCCTGGGGTTCCCCGGTTCAGATCCCGGGTGTGGACATGGCACTGCCTGGCAAGCCATACTGTGGAAGGCGTCCCACACATAAAGTAGAGGAAGATGGGCACAGATGTTAGCTCAGGGCCAGTCTTCCTCAGCAAAAAGAGGAGGATTGGCAGCAGTTAGCTCAGGGCTAATCTTCCTCAAAAAAAAAAAAAAGCAAACACATAAGAACAACAACTGTTAAAATATCAGTGTTTCTTTTCTCTGCATAAAGCTGTATTCTTATGAAGATTAAATTTTTAGAGGAATATATACCTATTATCAAGGTGAGCGGATAAAGTCCAATTTGTAGTTTGGGCACGCTCTACACATCTAGATATACTTGGTTCTCAAGACAAAAATTAGATTATAAAAATCTGCTTAATTATTCACAATAGCCAAGAAATGGAAACAACCTAAGTGCTCATCAACAGATAAATGGAAAAAGATGCAGTATATATACAATGCAATGTTATTCCACCCTGAGAAAGAAGGGAATCCTGTTATTTACAATATAGATGCCTTGAGAGCTGGCACAGATGTTAGCTCAGGACCACCTTCCTCACCAAAAGAAAAAAATGAAAAAGTATACATATGTGAGGTGATGGACATGTTTGTTAACTAGATGGAACAAATTCTTTCACAATGAATATGTATGTCAAATTATCATGATGTACATTTTAAAATCTTTGTTTTTTTAAGATTTAAAAATTTTTCCTTTTTCTCCCCAAAGTGCTCCTCCCCGGTACATATTTGTGTATTTTTTAGTTGTGGGTCCTTCTACTTGTGGCATGTGGGATGCCGCCTCAGCATGACTTGACGAGCGGTGCCATGTCTGCACCCAGGATTCGAACCGGCAAAACCCCGGGTTGCTGAAGTAGAGCACTCAAACTTAACCACTCGGCCACCAGTCTGCTCAAAGTCTCTCTTTCTTACAAATATGACATAATTCTAGAATTGTAAAAAACAAAACAGCCAATTCTCAAAACGACTCTTCTATTTAAAAACAACATATATGTTCTACAACAAAATAGGCTGAGATACAAAACTGAAGGCTTGCAATCTAACAAGGAAGAGTGGTAACAAAGACAGCCCTGAGTTAAACGTTATATAATCAAGTCAACACAAAAATCATGTCATTGTACCATAGTTAAAAATATCAATTATCATGATAATAGTATAACACTCACCAATGCTGAAAATACTAATACCATTTGTTTTTATTTTTTTAACTTTCAGTATTTAGTTATCAAAACACAATACCTGGAAAGCTGACATCAATCACTGGGACGACAAAAAAAAATGCACATAACAATATCTCATTTTCATATCTAGCCCTCTTTCATTTGCTTTGTGCTCATAAAACGAATTAGAAAAACTTTTTACCAAACGCTTTTCTTTTAAGACAACAAATCCCTTTTCCCACACCCACGTATTTCCTATAACAAGTTTGAGTTTCACCTCTGCATTTCTAACACTCATTATACACTGACATTTCAAACAAGATATTTTAATGGTTTAATAACTGCAGAAAAGAAATATTAAGTACAATAAAATATTTTTAGACATTTATTAAATATGTCTATTAGGAAACCCACAGTTCTTACCTTTTTAAAGAAATCTCAACGAAAAGTATGTTATAGTATATGTCAAATATGGTCAGTGAAAAATAACTATACAGAGAATACCATACTAAGCACTATGAGGGCCTACCTTCTCAAGGAGTTTACAATTCTCTCAACAGTGGAGCATTTTAATCTGCGGGCCTCCAATGAGTTATGTGTGCTTGAGATATTCATCTCCTCAGCCCTTGGGGCAGCTGAGCAAGGCCTGGGATGGCAAGAGCTTCCTGGCCACTGCCCTGCAGCCATGAGCAATCTCTTGTACATCACAGCCCGCTATCCAAATGTTTTCTGTGTGTGTCAAGCTTGGGAAGCACTGCTTAATATGGTACAAATAAAGACTTTATATAACACAAATAAAGCCTATTTATATACACGCATTCCTTCATACATATATACATATACATACACATCGGCAGTCTTTGCTTTGAATGCAGTGTGGGGTGACAAAAATAGTCATACAAGCCAAAACTGTGCAAATTTTAATAATGGGAAAAATGACTATTGTTTCATTACCTTTAAAATTTTTTGTCAAAACATAAATTCTCCATCAATTATAAAGGTATGAGGAAATGAAAAAAAGTAAAACTAATATTTATTTAGTACACTAATTTAAAACATTAAAAACATCGAGAATTAAAGTGTTTTCTCTCTTCATAAAAAATTTATCAAGAGCAGTTTCAACAGTGCTTGTCGCCTTCTTCTGGTAGTTTATGATAGGAAGCATCTTTTCTATGCCATGGAGAATTGTCATACTCTTTCTAAGTTAGGATCAGCTTCCAACACTGTATCCTCTGTGCTTTCAATGTATGAAATTTCTCCAATAGTTCCTTTAATGTAAAACCTTACGTCAGTGTCACTTCTTCATCCTTTATGTCACAACCACTTTCCTCATTTATGTCAATAAGTTCGCCTTCACTAAGTTCCTCTGGTGGCATTATCAAGAGTCTCTTGAACAGCCAAAGTGTCAACATTTCAGCTGTCAGCTATTTCTTCTCTAACTCCATTTATGCTCAATTTGAATCTCACTTCCAGCAGTCTCACTTTCTGTGTCTCTGCTGTGCTTTAATCTTTGTCGGTCAATTCCCTCTTTTGATGATCCACTTCTGCAAAATGCCACATGAGTTTATCACTGGGACACAAGGAGGGAACATGACTACACTTAGCTTTCTGTGCATGAACTCAGGAACAGGTGCACAGCGACCAACCACTGACAGACTTTGAAAGAGGCGACAAGATTGGTCACTAGTCATGATGCGCATTCGTTACTTATGTAGTGATTTGTGGACCGAAGAGCAAGCAGTGAAGTTTGTATTTTATACAATTACAGAGAACATACCATCAGAACTGAAATTTGCGTACATCAGAAACGTGCAAAGCAAGCGCTGCCTGTATGTCAACTATATAAAATTGATATACATTTGAGAATTGCAAGGTAGATACAGCAGTCATGAAAAGATTATATTGGGAATTTTATTTAAGGAGTACATCTTAATGTTTTTGTGGGGCAGGAGGATAAAAAGAATAGTGCATTCTAGGGGAAGAGCAGAACATACTGACGGCACAGCAAAGCAGACCAACAAAAAACAAGTACACTTATTCTACCTGAAAAAGAGACTATGAACTACGTAAGTGGTTCTCAAAGTGTTGTCCCTGGACTAGACGCATCAGCATCACCTGAGAACATGTTAGAAATGATAAGTCTTAGGTCCCAAAACAGACCTACCATCTAAGACACTCCAGGGTTAGGGCCAGCAACCTTCACTCTAACGAGCCCTACAAGTGATTCATTTTTTCTGTGTGAGGAAGAGTTTCCCTGAGCTAACATCTGTTGCGAATCTTCCTTTTTGCTGAGGAAGATGTAACCTAAGCTAACAGCTGTGACAGTCTTCTTCTATCTTGTTTGTGGGTTGCCACCACAACATGGCCACCAATGAGTGGTGTAGGTCCATGCCTGGGAATTGACCCCAGGCCACCAAAGCAGAGCGTGCTGAACTTAACCACTAGGTCATGGGGCTGGCCCCCTACAAGTGATTCTGATGCACAACCAACTTTGAGAATTGCTAAACTCATGTCCTATAAACCAATACGCTCTTCAGTTAAAGAAAACACTTAAGATCTTATATCACTTGTGACTTGTAAGATAAGCTTTATCTGAATCTCTCAATCATACAGGTAAACTCTACCCTCACTGTTATGCCCAAAACATCTAATGCACTGGTCCCCAAGTTTGATTTCTGAGGAGAAATCATCTTAAATTTCCTTGAAATCTTGAGCTTTTAGGGCTGGAAGGGAAACCTGACAATGAAATGGTTAAGTTAAATGGAGGAGTGGTTAGCAACGGTTGAGTGAGGAAAACTCAGGCCACAACTGAGAAAAGACTATGGTGTAAAGTGCACGGGAAAGAGAATATGAGCACTTGGAAATCTTCTGGGTAAAATTTTAAGATTCTAATTTCTAAGACGCAATAAATCATTTGTCTTAAGTTACACTGATTAATATTGTCACACGTACAATACTTCACTTTTGCTACATCAGACACTCCCCACTCCCCAAATTCTTCCCTAGCTCTTTTTAGTTTTATGCAAAAGTTATTAATACTTAAAAATTGTGAACAAATTCTGGTCCTGCCACTGATTAACTCAGCATTTATGAGTAAGTGCTTAATCATTCTGAGCTTTACTTTTCTCTTTTTCTTAGAGCAGTGGTCTATGCACATTAAAAACTGTTCATTAATAGCAATTAACACAGATCAAAAATTTCTGGAAGAACGAAATACAAGCATACCTCGTTTTACTGCGCTTTGCGCTTCGCATTTCAAAGACACCGCGTTTTCTAGAAATTGAAAGCATAGTGGAAACAGCAAGAGAACTAGAATTAGACGTGGAGCCTAAAGATGTGACCGAATTGCTGAATCTCATGATAAAACTTTAACAGATAAGGAGCTGCTTCTTATGGAGGAGCAAAGAAAGTGGTTTCTTGAGATGGAATCTACTCCTGGTGAAGATAGTGTGAAGAGTGTTTAAATGACAACAAAGATTTAGAATATTACATAAATTTAGTTGATAAAGAAGTGGCAGGGTTTGAGAGGATCGACTCCGATTTTGAAAGAAGTTCTATTGTGGGTAAAATGCTATCAAACTGCATCACTTGCTACAGAGAAATCCTTTGTAAAAGGAAGAGTCAATTGATGTGGCAAAATTCACTGTTATCTTATTTTAAGAAATTGCTACAGTCACCCCAGCCTTCATCAACCACCACCCTGATTAGTCAGCTGCCATCGATACTGAGTCAACACCCTTCCCCAGCACAAATATCATGACTCACTGAAGGCTGAGATGATGGTCAACATTTTTTTAGGAAGAAAGTTTTCTTTTTTTTAAAGATTTCATTTTTCCTTTTTCTCCCCAAAGCCCCCTGGTACACAGTTGTGACTTTTTAGTTGTGGATCCTTCTAGTTGTGGCATGTGGGATGCTACCTCAGCATGTCCTGATGAGCAGTGCCATGTCCACGCCCAGGATTCGAACCGGCGAAACCCTGGGCCACCACAGCGGAGTGCACGAACTTAACCACTTGGCCACAGGGCCGGCCCCAAGAATAAAGTATTTTTTTAAGTAAGGTATGGATATTGGTTTTTTTAGACAAGGCGATCGCACACTTAACACAGACTACAGTATAGTGTAAACATAACTTTTTTATACATACTGGGAAACCAAAAAATTCATGTGACTGTATTGCACTATTTGCTTTATTGTAGTGGGCTGGAACTGAACTGCAGCTCTGAGGTATGCCTGTGATATGCAATACATGAGTAACTATGCTTCATTGTTTTGAAAAACCTTGTTTTAATACTGTGTGATACAACTATTTGAAGGATGGACTGAAAGATCATTTCGCTATAGATTATAATGGTTGTCATAGCTAAAACTGATACCCATAATGATACATAGACCCAACTGGAGCGAGTGCCTCCTTGCTGGGCTAAAGAATGACGCTGATTGCTTTTAACACCACACACCAATTACACAAGGGTTTCTGCTCAAATTCTACTAGTGAATGTCCACTTTCCCTGATGTTAAATCAGTTTTTCTTACAAATTTTAGATAGGAGCTACATTCCTATCCTTGAGGCTCTTTGGGAAACTTCAAAAGAGATTTTTTTCTAATCTGATTCTAAGTCTTGAAAGTATAAATATACAGAAGTTTTGTTTTTGCTTTAAATAAGTGACATCTTTCATCTTTGGCAACAAAATCATACTTAACATACCCGAGGATGGTGTATGGTACAACTCTGGGGGAAGCCATTCATATGGAATGGATTGAGCACACCATCTCCCTGGAGGTGTGCAATGTGGAGATAATGAGGATACTTTCCACATTATATGTGACAGGACTCCATGACAACATCCAAGAGAGAGTACCAGTTGTCAATCCACATACTTAATATGAATAATGTTTACTTTCTAATATCTTTAGAGAAAAAATATATAAGAGTTATAATATTTTCTTCCTGCATCCCAATGGTTTGGATGCAGGACAGTATACATCTAGGGATAATAAAAAGAATAAAGTATCTAAATTCAATGGTTTGTTTTCTACCATTTCCCTTCTCTCCTTGACTTTTACTGTTCTTTTAACCAATTATCAAAGCCAACTTCATTCATTCTAAAAATATTTATTGAGTACCTCCATGTGCCAAGTGCTGTTTTGGGTGCTTGGGATATATCAACAAACAAAAGACAGAAAAACAGCCAATAAATATCATAAATAATTAAATTACATAATCTTTTAGTGGCAAAAGAAAAGGGGTTGGGAATATATTTCTGTGGGTAAAGGGTAAAGGAGTCAACCACCAGAGGAAGAAATCCAGCAATGTGAGCCTGGCACTTGGGGCTGCTTTTCTCCTAGGAGTGTCTGTTAAATCTGGAAAAAAGAATTGAGACTCAGGCTAAAAAATGGACTGGAGCTTTCAATAGTCCTTCAGGATTAGAGGAACAAAAACTGGAGTTCAAGGTCTATCACTGAGATAAACACTTAAGCTCTGAGTTGGGACCCTGTGTCAGGGGTCCCCCAGGCTTGGTGATTCTCTAAGGGGACTCAGAGGAGTCAGCATACAGCTGTACTCATGGATAAAATTTATTACAGCAACAGGATACAGAGCAAAAGGGAAATCAGCAAAAGGCAAAGGCATGTGGGGTGACGGCCAGAGGAAACCAGGTGTAATCTTCAAGAATCCTCTCCTGAGTTTCTGCTTGGGAAGATGACAAAGTTCTGGAAATGGACAGTGGTGATGGCTGCAAAACCCTGTGAACATACTTAATGCTACTGATTTATATACTAAAAAATGTACACTGAATCATACATTAAAATGGGTAAAATGATAAATTTTATGTCGTGTATATTTTACCACAATTAAAAAAGTCACACAGGATACACTTAATTCCTCCAGCAACAAAAAGGAATTATACCTCTTCTCTGTATAACAGAGAAGCTCATCAGATACCCAGCACTCAAGGTTTTTATTGGGGGCTCATCAGTGTAGACACCCTCTGCCTAGCACATACAAAAATTCCAGACTTTCACAAGGAACATACATGTTCAGAATAAAACGTACCTTGTTTGTACAAACAGTGTAGGCACAATCAGCCCTTCTTAGCAGCTGAAGAAAGTCATCTATCAGTGTGGGGAACTGTCTGGCACCCAAGTTCCCAGACACCAGCCAAGGGCCGCCTTGCGAGCAGGCCTTTCCAATGACAGGCAATGTCAGTTGGCTCTGTTAACTCTTATCTGCACAGACCCTGAATGGCGACACCCTGGCAATAAGTGAGTGGCCTTTCTAGGGTCCAAAGTCAAGCTTCAAGTCATCTAAATCCCTGTAACTGGATTAAGGTAAACCAGTATTGCTAGTGTGGCAGGCCACTTGTCAAAAGCAAATAAAAGAAATCATGTCTAGAGAAAGGTAACATTTTAACTCTCACGTTACCTCAACAAGTTTTCATGTCTGCTATCTGGCCCTTGATAAACAACAGCCTGACATACAACTTAACAACATGGGATAACAAAAAAGGGGGGAAACATGTTATGGGATGAATTGTGCGCCCCCCCAAAAGATATGTTGAAGCCCCTACTCCCAGTATCTCAGAATATAACTTTTCTTGGAAACAGGATTGTTGCAGATGTGATTAGTTAAGATAAGGTCACAGTGGAGTAGGGTGGGCCTTTGATCCAATATGACCGGTGTCCTTATAAGAAGAGAGACACACACAAGAAGATGCTACATGATGACAGAGGCAAAGATGAGAGTGATGCATCTAAAAGCCAAGGATGCCAAGGATTGCTGGCAAACACCAGAAGGCAGAAGAGGCAAGGAAGGGCTCTCCTACAGGTTTCAGGGGGAGCATGGTCCTGTGACACTCTGATTTTGGATTTCTAGGCTCCAGAACTGTGAGACAATGATCTCTGTTGTTCTAAGCCCCCAGCCTGTGGTACTTTGTTACAGTAGCCCTAGGAAACTGATACACAAAAGACAAAGAAACGACCAATGAGGAACCTAGACAACAGAGGTACCAGACACAGACCTTAAAATAATTTTGCCTAATATGCTTAAGAAATGACAAGATTGAGAATTTCTGTAGAAAACTATAACCTATAAAAAAGAACCAAATGTAAAATCTAGAACTGAAAAATACAAAAATTGAAATTAAGCACTCAGATGACAAGTTAAACAGTATATTAGAGACAGCTGAAGAGAGCATTAGTAAACTAGGAGGAAATATCAAGAATGATGCATGAAGAGTCAAAAGGCAGGTAAATACCGAAAAGAATGTAAGGGACATTATGGATATGGTAAGATGTAACATATCGCAACTGAAATCCCAGAGGAGGAGGGTAGAATGAGGAAGAAGTGATGCTTGGTGAGATAATAACTGACAGTTCTCCAAAACTGTTGAAAATCATCAAACCACATATTCAAAGGGCAATATGAACCCCCAAAGGAATACTTACAACAAAAACCTATCCTGGGCACACCATAGGAAAATTGTTGAAAACCAGCGAGAAAGATAAAATTTAAAGTCTGCCAGTGAAAAGAGACATATTACTTTCAAAGGAACAAAAATAAGATTTCCAGCTGACTTTTCAACAGAAACAAAAGCAGCCAGGAAACAATGAAATGTTTATCCTTCAAGAACAGAGATAAAATTTAAAAAATACATTACCAGATGAATAAAAACTGCGAGGCTTTCTCACTAGTAGATCTGTAATAGAGATAATACTAAAGGGTATTCTTCAGGCAGAGGAAAATGATACTAGTTAGAATCTTAGAGAGGCGGTAAGAAAAGCATTAAAATGGTAAACATACGGGTAAATGTAAACGAATATTGAATGTATACACTAACAATAATGTATAGAAGAATAAAATACTATTGCCTGAGATGAGGCTAACTGATTAACGGGGATAAGTCAGGGATGCATGTTATAATCACTGGAGTAGCACTGTCCAGTTGGACTTTTTGTGATGATGGAAATATCTGCACTTTCCAATATGGTAACCAGAAGTGGCTACGGAGCACTTGAAATATGACTGGTATGACTGAGAAACTCAATTTTAAATTTTACTTTATTTTAATAAATTTAAATAGTCACCTGTGGCTAGAAGCCACTGCATTAGACAAGACAGCTCTAGAGTGACCATAAAAAGCATAGTAAAAGAGTGTATAATTATGTTAACATACAATTATCCTGCTAATAAAGGGAAAAAAATGAAAAAAAAAAAAAAGACTATTCAATTCACAAGAAGACCTAAGAGAAAAAAGTCCCTGAACGGATGAGTCAAA